CGTCTCAGTGGACGTGAGCCTCAGTGGATGTCTGCAGCCAGACCCTTCTCGATACAGACGTAGTCGGGATTATTAATAGTCACGCATCTAGTCAGGTAAAGTTGGATTAAGACATGTACAATATAATAATCTATACCACAAGTGTGTCTGCTGAGGTGTGGCATGAGTAAATGGTGTCCTGTAGTTGTGTTCTGGGCAAACAGCAACTCTGGATATAACGGATTGTTTTGCCAGGTCCCCGGAAGTCCATTATAACGTTAATTTACTGTAAAATAAAAGCGTACGCATATTACAAAGGTGAAACATGAAATGTAATGACTGTATTTGGAAAAAAAATCCGTTAAAATAATATGAACAGGAAGATATTTTTATATTTTGTTTAGTCACTGTCTACTTTGAAAGTTTATTACTAAAATAGCAAAGACAAGACCGGTTATTTGTGCCGAACATTTCACACCAGCAACTTTCGCGTTATAAGGCGACAGCATAAACCATGGTATCACCTCGGTCAGTGGCACGGTGATACCGTGGTTTATGCTGTCGCCTTATAACGCGAAAGTTGCTGGTTCGATCCCCATAGCCAACGGGGACCCTTCTGGGTTTATTTCACCTGTCATTATTACTGTATAATATTATTTGATCTCCGTAAAATACTTTAAATCACATCCGTGTGAAATGTTCTGCACAAATAACCGTATCTTGTCTTTGCTTTACTTCAGAAAAGATGGTTTTTATTCTCTGCTTTCTCGTCTTGCTTTTACTCACAGCACTGACTATACATGGTTCCATTTTTTAATATACGTATATACAAGACTCTCTCTCCCGCTAACTCAAACAAAATCATGTCATTTTGGTACACCTTACAGATTAACAAAATAATTCAATCAGATAATGTAAAATATTATGTCAGATGATGACAAATAATTCAACAGATTACATGAGTAGTAAGATCACAGAATTTCGTCCGACGGAACNATAATAACAATTATAATGTCTAATATTTATTTTCTATTATTTTTTCTAATATTTTGGGTAATACGAGTGTAATTTTCATGACCTACCTGTCCGATCCTCTTGTGTGCCACGGCCCCTTATTAACCACATATGCAGCCCTGATTGTGACCAGTTGTTTTCTGTCAATTTGATTCTGTTTCTGTCAGTGTCTATAACCCCAGGTCTGTCGTTGACGTTTTGATGTTACATGTTCCTGTCCCGCATGTGGAGTGATTCCAAATAAATCCTTCAATCCTGACTCCTCGTGTCCCCGTTCCTGCTTCCCTGTCCAGCAGTCATAAACTATTGGTGACTAAAGGATGTTATTCCATCTCTAGAGGGCTCTAATAATGTTAAAATCCGTATTTAGAAGGTCGTAAACAGGTTTCCAATGCTCTTACTACGAAAATATTCGATTTCTAAAGAATCCTATTTCGCGGATTTCGCCTATTGCGGGTTATTTTTAGAACGTAACTCCCGCGATTAACGAGGGACCACTGTATTACTAAATCATAGATTATTTTTAAAATAGTTTGTGCTTATCACATTTGAATTATACATTTATAAAAGTAGTTTGTACGTATAATTAAGAATTGCATAACTTAAAATTTAATAAAATTGTGTACTTAACAAATTATATCACCTGTAGTCCTGATTGTGACTGTCAATGGTGACCAGATTTTTTCCCCCCTCAGAGTATTATATTGAAGCCTTAAAGACTGCAGAATTATGCTTCTCGCAGAGCTTTACTCCATACTTCTGTTATTCGAAGATAATGTAAGTGTTACATAAATAAATCACTATACATAGATAATTTGGCAAACATTTCTTGTAGTGTATTGATATATAAATTTGAACAAACGTGCAAAAAAAAAAAAGTATATGGAACAGAATAAAAAGAATACAAATTTTTCCTTATGTAAACATGGCATGAATTTTAAGACCCATCCTATCAACGCAATTGGAGAGCAAGGTTTCCATGTCCTCCTTATTATTAAAAATAAACATGAATGGATCATTCCTGTTGTCACTTTGACCCTCCAGGACCTCTTGCGAATCCAGCACACGGCACTGCAGAGGTCCCTCATGATGCACGACTCCTATATGACATTGGAAGTGAATATCAGGGATCGAATAAGTTAATCAGGTGCAGCTGGTAATCAACAGGAAACCACCTAAGAAAAATGAGGGACACACACACACACACACACCACTAGCATTCTATTCTATTACACTTTGTAGAGCAGTCTCACCCTCGAGAGAGGCTCCAAGTTTGCTTTCAGCAGGTGTGAAGCTTCCTCAGTCTTCCTCAGTCCATGTCTGAGTAGTACAAGTACACATCATTTACACTACCAAGACATAATGTTTCAATATCTCAATGTATCAATGGTGAATTACCCATATATGCAAAACCTCTCCATTAGCTGAATGCACTACCACTGATGAATTAATGGAATATCACCTTAAAAAACCTCCCTGCTGAGCTTATTCTATATCTGACAAACCCCCTTCACTGCAAAGAAAGGGCACGTGATTCTGCATCT